GGGAGTCCAGGCCCTGTGAGGCCATGTGGAGAGTGCTAGGATCCACCTCTTTTCTAGATGGGAAACCTGAGGCCCGGAAAAGTTAATGACATATCCAAGGGCACACAGCTGCCAAGTGAAGCCAGAATTCTAAATTGGTGCCTGACTCCAAGTTTCATGCCCTTTCCATTTCCAGCACGGGTCCTGTAGCCTCATTGCTTTTTTTTCAAACCTCTTTCCTCTTTTCTCATGCTCTGCTTACTCCATCCCTTTAACAGCTTTCTCCATCTTCTTGTGCTCTCATGGTCCTTTCTTAGTTAAAGCATCATCCCTCCTTGTACCTCTGCCTGTCTTCTGCCACCTCCTTGGCTCTCTTTCCCTCAGCCACCCATCTCCCTTCAGGCCCCAAAGGACACTACTGCTGTAGGGTGTGTGCCTGGGGAGGGCAGGGAGTGGACAGCTCCCCACTTCCTCCCACATGCCCCCCTCCTCCACGGTGAGAGGGCAAAGGGGATGTTCTGTGACTGGAGGCCACCGGCAGGACCCGGGCATGGCAGACCTCAGTGGAGGGGCTGCAGGGGGCTGGTGTCCTGTAGGACCCCCAGGGCAGAGAAGGGGTGGGTGAGGGGGCCAGGACACAGCTGGGTTTCCCAGTGCCCGTTCTCTCATTCATGGGATTTCACAGCCAGCTTCAACTCTGCTTTCCCATTGGTAAGCTAGATGGACTCCAAGTCGGGGAAAGACGCCAGGCTGCTAGAGCAGAGCTATTTCACACTCCTCTGTAGTCCGAAAGCATTTCCACTTTTCACAGAGTTTTCCAATCCATGTCTCATTAGTTCCTCCCACTCTCCAAGTTGCTGGGACAGGCGCTGTCCTCATTCTGAAGATGAGCGAACAGCCCGTGCTGAGCATCGAGCAGCACTGCAGCCAGACCCAGACTCTCTGGGGTTCTTTCCTCCAGGAAAAGCGCGGAAGGAGGGAAAGAGCTGAGTCTCTCTGGAAAGCACAGTGGCTTATTTGAGGGTCAAGCTCCTTCATTATAAAGCTGTGTGTTGCAGATAGAATTTAATGTAGTTTACTATCTATGCAGTATCAATATTGAGTAAATTTGTTGGTATAACCTCTTAAATAAATTTTATTCCTCCTCCCCCCAAAAAAGAATTGCGCTGCATAGACCCAGACGTTCCTGAGTGCCTTCTGCGTGCCCTGCACTGTGCTCCGTGCTGGCGAGGGCTCATCGCATGTGACCCTCACAACAGACCTGAGAGTAGATATGATCATCCCTGTGTCGCAGGTGGGGACACCTAGTGCCAGGACAGTTGAGAGATGGGCTGTTGCGGTCACTGCAGGGAACAGCATGGGAGGAAGGGTTTTAACTGCAGGATTAGACCTGGGGACATTCCATGTAAGGGCTGTGGAGTAGGCTCCTCGGGCATACCAGGTCAGAAAGCCAGAGGAGCAGGTCCAGAAGGTAGGAGCATTTGGCAGGAGGGCCAGGGGGCACTAGGGGAGACCCCAAGCCAAATGTAAGAGGCAAGTCCTGACTTTAAGATCGCGGTGTCCCCAGCATTCCCAGTGGAGCCATGACCTGAAAAGGCCCAGAGGAAGCCCACGGAGGAGCCACCCTCCCCGGCTCCTGAGTCTGGCAGGGCTATTGTTTTCAATAGTGTTTTCCAATACTTTGTACCTCGGCAGACATTGAGTTCGGTGACTTCTGCCTGTAATTGGCGTGGGCTGTTTCCAGTTCTGGAGCGTGTGACCGGGCCACTTGCTTTGTGTTTAACCCTTCCCCCCACATACACCTCACCCGCCCTGCCCCCCATACGTATAGAAAGCGACGATCTGTCCGGCCGTGCTGGGGTGTGCTCTGTGTAAAAATACATGGGGTTGAGCCATTTCCTGCTGCTTCCGCTGTTGCATGGCGATAAGACGCTGAGGACTCGCTTGTGGAAAGAGATCCTCCAACAGGCCGGTGGGGAACCCGCCCCGGGAGAACGGGGCTCCAGGCCCACCTGCTCTCATCTGACCTGCGTTTCCCATCTTTCCTGTCTTCTGTGACCTTCCCTTCCCCCGCCCCACCCCCTTTATCAGTCTCTTTTTCCTTCTTGCCACCCCGATGTGCTCGGAAAGCCTGCTTGCCTGCTGGTGAGGAAAAGCGACTGTCATCTCTTTCCTGCACATTCACCCCCTTCCCAGCTGGGCAGCTGATACCCCCAGGTCCCCACACTGCTGTTTCCCTTGGCCTGTGGGTTACTTCTGGGACTTGAGTCTTCGGGGACCTGGCCAGCGGGGCCGACGGGTGTGCTCCTCTCCCGGTTCTGGGGAGCCTGGGCAGGGTCAGTGCTCCCACTGTCATGAAGCGGAAGAGGTTGCTGACGACTCCAGGGAGCTGGAAGGTAACAGCTGGGAGGGTGTCAGCAGAGGCAGGTGACCCGCTGAGCTGTATTAGAGAAGGCGGGGTGGGGAGG